AGAGAGATAGGGAGAGAGATTGGGAGAGACAGAGAGAGAGAGAGAGAGAGAGAGAGAGAGAGAGAGAGAGAGAGAGAGAGAGCGAGAGAGAGCGAGAGAGAGAGATATATCACATGCACCACGCTGAAGCATGACAAGGAATTCATGAGCGCGCACACGCGCGTAAACTACACTACCGCGCTGAGAACTGAAACCGCTGTTATTATTGCTGTGGCAAACATCACATTGTTCACTCATCATCATCATCATCATATCATCATCATCATCGTCATCATCATAATCATCATCATCATCATCTTCATCATCATCACCACCACCATCATCATCGTCAGTGAATAGATACATTATTTCATCATCACGACCACGAGTCGCACGTCGCGTCCGCGTATATAGAAATAATATAGGTAGGGTGTCTCTATATAATTATTTCTATGCGTCCACGTAAAAAATTACAACTACGTTGGGCAATAATTACCGCAAAGTGGTGCGGGTCTATATAATTTCTATAGACTTACCCCATCCTAATACCATGTTGTGCCATCTCCTTAGCATGCCGTTCTTCGGCACCACTCTAGCCATCAGACTGTAGATATGTAGAGAGTCGAGGAACAGCCAAGTGAACGAGACTGTGTACAGGTAATGCATGGCTACGGCTACCACCTTACAGATGACCTAAACAGGTAAAAAAATAGTCTGTTAACTTCTACGCACGTGGAATAGTTAATTGATCAATGTGAAACTGCTTGTGCGACGATGATATCATAGTGTTATTTAACATAATCTTAAAGCGAAACTACTTGAAAGATAAAAAAAAAATCGCCATTATGTGTGTACGTCGCCATCATCACTACACAACCCAGCGTCATGTCAAAACACTCGCTACTAAAATGTCACCGACATGTTTGAGAAATTTACGCTGTGATCCAAACTAATCCATTTTTTTAATCAAGTCTTTGTTAATTCAGTTCAGTTACCCTCTGAGAAACGGGATTCTGTCTTCGGTCTATATATAGATATGCGATGCTTCGCATCAATATCTGGAGTTTCGTACGCTCGTAACCCGCCGCGACAAATCTACCCAGAACATATATCATATTATCGCGATAAATTAAACCGCACCTTTGTTTTGTTCTGTTTTCCTAACCTCGCAAGTTCCCCGTATTTCAAAAGCTCCTGTTGCTATAATCATTGGTAAGTATAAGCTGCAGGCTATTACTGGAGTGTACGTATAATATACCGTAGCATAGGTTAAAAAAAAACTCATCTTATCTATATTTATGTTATTATTATATATCATTTTATGTAAACATGCGATGAATCTTTTCATCGCCTTCTCATCCAAACATCATGCATGACAATTCCGATATTTGATCTTGTTCCCGCCTACTGTTTACATCTACACATATAGATATATACGATAACGTTAAATTTCCGAACAACTTATTTAAGCTTATAGTCCCCACTAATAGGCCCCTGGATGATTTGCAAGCGTTTGCTGAGAAGGAAAATGCGTCCTATAACCCACGAAATAAAATCCCTTCGAAACCCGAAATAAATAATAATTATAAGAACTTTCATAGACTTCGAACGGTTCGTGCAATATTCCTATCGGCAATACGAGTCGGAAATCATCGCCAATGGCTGCAAACCAAACGAGGCCATCTACTCGCAGAAAACCATCTCGAATGTAGATCGAATTCGAACTAAAGAAACTGAAGATAAAACAAAAACACAAAACAGGCGCTTTAAACCCGTCACGTACGCGCACGCGCTCTGACGCCAGATGGCGCCTTGCCGCATCCGAGGTGGGGTGTTGCTATCCCCCGGGCGTGGAGGGACAGTCACGTGATACAGTTGACGTATACTTAAAGTGACGTAAAGATTCCACAGTCATACTTCCGTACTAGACATGGCCTTATATCCCTAACCCTAACCCTAACCTTAACCCTAACGCTAACCCCAACCCTAACCCTAACCCTATCCCTGATCCTAACCCTAATCCTAACACTAATGCTGCCACATTGCGGTACTGTCCCTCCACGCCCGGGGGATAGCATTTCCCATCCGAGGTGTCCGCCTTCGCAGGAGAAAATTACGAGCGCGGTGGTTGAATTCCCACGTGGTGCGGCATATAACGATGAAAACAGATGCATGTTTAACTCCGTAGCCGGTGACGCGATCTGCTTTTTCGCACAAGCAGATGACGACTGGATTCTCTCGGGTAGGATAGCCGAAATCATTAACTAATGTGTGAATAACGGATGCGCGTAACAATAGCAGCTTACATTGAAACATCAATGAGTATTTCTCATGGTAAGCATGCAGGACTTATGCAAAGCGTCTATACAGTAAGGGGAAGGGAGAAGGGTCCATTCCCAATTTCCCAGACAAAAAATATGTCATTTGCGGTGAGTCCTGATTCGTGAGCTCAACACTACTCCCCAATACGACAGTTAGGCTACACAGCCGAGGAATTCAAAGAGAGAAATGGCGGATAAATTTCGTCTCGCAGGGCGCCACTTGTTTTAGTAGCATCCATGCAGACGACTGAACTGTATATAATAAAACTGTTATTATTTATAGCTCAGTAATGCAGACGCCTTGGGCATCGGACTGATTCTACTACGCGTGCGCAGTAGAGCCGGCGTCGGTGCATGAATGTAATGCCATATTATGTGTGATGTTCCCATATATGGCTATAATGTTATATAGATGAAACTGTACGAACGTTAGTTGAAACGACACTTCGAAGAAATTTTTGATATAGTTTCATTCTGTAACACTATTATACACACTGCGTCATTTATTCGCATGCTACTATTACTGTATGCACTCACTCTGTACTTAACTCGGCAAGCCGTGATCATGCAAGCAATAATCGTCATTGCAAATGTCCACCAAATAATCACCAATTAATTCGTTCTTTCTCGGTAACGATACTCGAAACAAACTCAACGAAGAGTAGCGGTGGTTAAGAATATAATAAGACGCTCGAAATGTGGGGTCGTGATCGATATTCACTCGGTTAGTCTGCTTACCAGATGTTCCGTTCTATTAACGGCAAACAAGACGAGCAGATGAACGATGACTTGCGAGAGCTCAAAATTCATCTGAAGCAGCCTCTCCGGAGAGAAGTTCCTGTAATGACATCGGCTATATGGTAATCGGCGTAGCTTGCCCCTAGAGGGCGTGAGAAACGCATTGTTACGTGGCCATCCGTGCGCACGGGAGGAGGGACTGTGAGAGGGAGAGGCGAAGGGAGGGTAAGAAAGAGAAGAAAGGGAGGGAGGTGCAATGGGGAATTGAGGGACGAACAGAGGAGTAGTGATGGATGAACGGAGTGAGCTAGGGAGGGACGAAGGGAGGCGAGGAAGGAGATACGAAAGAGAGGGAGGGACAACGGGAGGGAAAATAGATGAAAGAAGTGAGCGAGAGCATTGATTGTGATGGAAGGACTGAGGGAAGCAGGGAAGAATATTTAAAATGTGTGAGAAGGGTGTTATGAACAAGGGAAGCAGTTGTGTGTTTGTCGTAAGTAGAGCGCTCGCTGACTAGCTGACTAAACCGTGATCGGTACCCCATTTTCAGATGTCATTCACTTCACCCCCTTACACCTCCAGATCTTCGCTGGATGCCACCACACCTGAAGGCTGCGAATAGCGCCACCGTCGCTCCGATCGTGCCAATCAGAACGAAGCAGCCCGACCTCGTCGCCACGGCAACGCCGACTTCCGCCAGCACTTCCTTGATTTTCTGAAAGACACCGGACAAGAGAGTTATCGGGCTGTTGCATCGAGTTGTGACGTGGGCGCGGAGGCAAAGACAACGATGGATCAGCTTGAAACGGCCGCACAAACAATACCAACAGTGCTGCCATGTGCGGAATCGATTTTTTGGTTATGCTATTCGCGTAACTAGTTATCCGTGGGATTTTCGCCGGAGCGGTAATTTGCGAAAATGCGCAGGTAAATGTCGCACACAACATCGCCGGCCGTGTGTGATTAGCTGATTACGACACGGTGGCAATTATTCGTGAGAACAGCGACAGCTTGAGATGTTACGCGCGGCGATGGGCAATACTTCGTGAGAGAGATAAATCTGCCTGGCGGGTTGAACAAACTGTCTACGATTATTTTGTGCGGTTACGAATAATTGTTCTAAATTTGGACGTTAGGGAATCATTCAGTAGGCACGCGTTTACGCCACTTTGTTTTCCGATTCTCGGAGCTTTTTGCTTGTTTTCGCACGCATGCGCACGTATATCATCTGTGCTCCTAGTTTAGCGTGTACACGCGATCATACGTCGCGCCGACAATTCTGTCTAGCCCTGCACGTGGGACCTCCCCCCCCCGCGCGCGTGTTGAGGGTGCATGCGCTGTGCTTACCTCCTCTACTGACGGCACAGTTGGCTTCACTGCGTTTACGTGATGCAAAAAAACAGCAAACAAGAAGTACGGGTTTAATGTATTGCCAACAGACGTTAAGAACATGGATGAAACGTATAATAACATGATATGAGAGGAGATATCGAGCCAATCATGCACGAACATAACGATACGAAATCTTCTAGTGAAATATAGGAGAACGCTGGGGGAGAATGTCGCTCCAACATGCAAGATATGACAGCTTAGATAACTTATGCAAACACTGCTGACAGGAACCGCCCCTCCCCCTCCCCCCATTCCCCCTGCCTATCGCCCTTCGCAGATTCTATTTTGGTTTCCATCGCAACCGCAAACAAAACTCGACGTAGAGAATTCGAGGCAATGAGATCAAAAACTTGCTCAAAGACGAGGTAATGCGGTATTTAGAGGTGTATCGCCTAAAAGACAAGTCCGCTTCGCGATTATGAAGTCGAAACGTTTCTATAAAATCAATCCTCGAAAGAGCTTTCGCCGTGTCGAATATCAGCTATCAGAATTAATCAGCTATTATGTGGGACAACATCCTGCGCTCATCTCCCTAGCACCGCATAGGGCGAAGTCAGTTTAGCTCACAAAAACCACTAAGATTTTACTACAGTTGCACGTTCGATATCTAGGGATATAAATTGGCCGCCAACTCCAGTAATATTCGATAAAGCGTAACAGGTAAGATTAACACACACACGCACGCACGCTAGCAGGTATTCATTGCGCACGCACGCACACACGCATTCATTCACGCACGTATGCACGCACGTATGCACGCACGTACGCACACACGCATTCATTCACGCACGCACACACGTATGCGCGCACGCACGCACGCACGAACGTATTATTTCACTGACGCACGCACATACGTATGCACACACGCATGCAGTACGCATTCCCTCGCGCACGTACGCATATATATATGTATACGTTACGTTGTAACTGTACGTGCGCGATGGTAATGTTGCAGGAGAAACGAGAGCGTGCCACCAGAGAGAGAGAGAGAGATGTTGCGTGCCTGTTGCGATCATGTTGCGTGTGTAGCGTACCCCCAACCTATTGTGCGTATTCCCAGCGTATCCCCAACCTATTAGTTGCGTGTGAGTTGCGTGTTAGTTGCGTACTACATGCGTGTTGAGAAATGGTATAAATAGTTGGCCTTTTCTAGATCGGTGTCAGTTGTTGGTGGACCTCCGAGGTGACAACGGGAGCTACCTCTTGCTGTTATTGGATATCAGTTTAATCTGGTCAATTTAGCACTCCAACACATACAGAATAGAATAAATAGGAGAAGAAGAAGAAGAAGAAGAAGAAGAAGAAGAAGAAGAAGAAGAAGAAGAAGAGTGTGGGTTAGACCATAGATTAGCAGGCGCCTTGACTTTGGTCTCTACGACCAGCTTCTGGTGGAGCTCCGGAACGAGGACTAGTGCATTCAAGAACTTCATGAGGATGCCCTCCTGAGATGTACGATGAGCTGCTACGGAGAGTTGGTCCTCGCATCACCAAGCAAAACACCAAGTACAGGCTGCCTGAGGCTGGCAGTTACTTTGCGGCACCTGGCCTCGGGTACCAAGTACTCCGACATGCAGTTTTACCGTTATTACAGGTTTTTATTATTAACAGGTTTTTATATTACAGGTTTTTACCACGTGACCGATATTCGCAATTAGCACGCAACTAGCACGCAGGTCCAACGCAACTTATAAGTTTTGAACGCAACTCAAACGCAATCTCCTAAGTTCTGCACGCAACTCACACGCAACTCGTCTTCAGAAATTCAGAAATTCAGAATGTTCAATAATTCTCTGCGAATGCCTGCGATCAATTTATACGCAACAGGGACGCAACAGGGACGCAACAGGGACGCAACAGGTACGCTACGCACGGAACACGATCGCAACAGGTAAGCAACTCATACGTTATGAACGCAGTAAGTTTTGAACGCAACTCAAACGCAACTCGTACGCAGGTGATCGCAGATATTGGGGGATCATAAGTTCAGTTCGCAACCCACACGCAACCCACACACAACCCACACGCAACCCACGCGCAACCCACACGCAACCCACAAGCAACTCACACGCAACCCATAGGTTGAATAGGTTAGAAATTGACAAAATTGTTGATTTGGGTTGCGTTTGGTGCGTATAAAAATATTTTTTACACGCAACTCATAGGTTTCAGCATACAGTGTCATGTATGATGTAGCAACAGATCCCGGTGTCATGTATGATGTAGCAACAGATCGATTGTAAACATGCACTCGTTTAGGAGACTATTATATTTTACTTCTAGCCTCATCCCCCTCCCACATTAATCATTTTACATCACATCGACGCACATTGAATGCTAGCGAAACAGTATCCACGTTTTCTGTAAACAACCAGCTCACATTTCAGCCCAGTATCTCCTTTTATTTGTTTAGAATGACGTTATTATACCCCTCTCTTACACGTTAAGAGAAACCCGACGCTCGTCGATTTTCGTGAGATAATTTTAGCATGACGACGTCGTGGACCAATGACAGGACTGCAAGAGGTCACGTGTCATCTCAGCTGATGTCCACATATCTATCTCTCTGAGTAACACACACCGCAGACGCCGCGGCACCGTTCCCGCACCACTTATCAACGCCAGCGAACGCCCGTACGGCTCGTATAGGGTGAGATAATGAGCATACACATACACATGCATTATCAAAAGTCCATAACAGAAATCCTTAATTTTTAATCCATTAATAATCTATCCTTAATAGAAGTCCATAGTTTTCTATTGTGGACTCTTGATGCATATACATGCGCACGCGTGCAGATACTGATTAGCTCTCAAGCAAGCGGGGTTTGCGTCCTCCGTACATACCTATTTCACAGTTCTTCCCCTGGAACCCGCTGCGGCATTCGCACTCATAGTCGTTGACATAGTCCGTGCATAGGCCGCCGTGAACGCACGGGCTGGAGGCACACTCGTATATCTCTGTCGATTAGTAAATTCATATGAGATTAGTATTAATATTTACAACGAGTAGAAGATATAAGCGAAGTTACATAGGAGAAGAAGAGAATGGAGTGTATGAGAAATCGGGAGCTGTGCGATATAACGGTATAGCTGTGCCTGATGTTTGATCTGTATGTGTGTCATTTTTTGCTTCGTGACAACTACTGTCAGTCTATTTCATTGTCCCCTTCGGCATCACGACAGGAGCGTTATCTGTTCCTTTCTCCACCCACTTCGTTGCCATGTACCCCTGACAGGGGCGTGTACAGGATTTGTACCAGGGGGGGGGGTCTAACCCTAACCCAAACTTGCGAGCACGCGAGGGGGGTTCTGGGAGGCCCTCCCCCAGAAATTTTTTGAAATTAGACCCTCTTAAATGCGTTTTCTGCGCGAGCAGGGGGGGGGGCCGGACCCCCTGGACCCCCCCCCTGTACACGCCCCTGCCTGATCGTCATTTCTCACTGCTTCCGTCTATTCATCCTTATCTTCGCTGGCCAGATTCCCCTTCTTTCCCGTGTATCATCTTCTTTATATTCTATTCCATCTCCCTTGCCTTACTCCTCCCCCGATTTGCTCCCCTTCCCCCCCCCCTATTCTCATGATCCCTATCCTCACTATAATCATAACTATCATCATTATCATCACCATCACCACCACCACCATCATCATCATCACCACTATCATCATCATCATCATCCTCATCACCATCATCACCATCATTATCATCGTCGTCACCGTCCTCGCCATCACACTCTCACGTCGCCGGGATGCCATATGTTCTCAGGACATCGTTAGAACTGTTTTTCGTTATCAGATAATGTTATCAGATAAGATTATAATAACATCTCGATCATTCTTTCTCCTCTGCCTGGTCGACCACGGCGTCGCGCAGAAGACGGCAGTGAGTGCGACGATAGAGGGCGCACCTGCGTCGCAATCGTGGCCCGTGTAACCAGGCACGCACTCGCAGACGTAAGAATCCACTCGATCGCGGCAGGTGGCGTTGTTGTAGCACGGGTTCGACTCGCACTCCTGGATGTCTGCGAAAGCGTAATATAATTATAAAGGTATTATAAAGGTAATATGAACACATGTGCGCATATGTGTGCCGCGATGGCTGTTCATCTATGTCGACAACGGCAGGTATCTAAGCGTGAAGACAATTAAAGCCGGATCTTTCTCTCTCTCTCTCTCTCTCTCTCTCTCTCTCTCTCTCTCTCTCTCTCTCTTTTACCATTTCTTTCCATTTCTCTCTATTTCTCTCTATTTCTCTCTCTCTCTCTCTCTCTCTCTCTTTTACCATTTCTCTCTATTTCTCTCTATTTCTCTCTATTTCTCTCTCTCTCTCTCTCTCTCTCTCTTTTACCATTTCTCTCTATTTCTCTCTATTTCTCTCTATTTCTCTCTCTCTCTCTCTCTCTCTCTCTTTTACCATTTCTCTCTATTTCTCTCTCTGCTTACACAAAACTCGCGAGCTGCAGGAAAGCCTACCTAGCGCGCAGGCCTACTCGAGGTGAAACAGACTACGCTTAGACGAACGCGAGCAGCGGAAACGTCGCTAATGCCTCGCAGCATCGCGTGATGATCTCGGCAGACGGGGATAATTAATTAAATAAATAATTTAAATCGGCTGCCTCTTAGCACCTGTCTCGCAGACGACTCCGGTGAAGCCAGGTAGACAGTCGCACACGAAGCGGTTGACGAGATCCACGCACGTGCCGCCGTGGTGACAAGGACGCGTCTGGCATTCGTCGATATCTGCATATGACGACGAGGGGAGGGGGAGGGGTGATAGTTAGAGCTGGAATCTATATTGCCCCGCTGTCGCCAATAATTTTATGAAAAACGCTCGATACACGCGGTCGGTTCGATCTGCCGCCAGAAGGACGGTAAATGAAGCAAATTACCTGAATTAGCGATAAGCGAAAGTACGCAGTCATGCAACGCGGAGAAATTACATGCTTAACGTCGTGTAAGTAGTAGTAGAGTGAGCGATAGAGTGAGTGAGTAGTGAGGGTGTGGGGCAGTTGTTTTACGGGATGCAGAATTGCACCATTTTAACTATCGGGAAATTGAAACCACGTGAATTTTTAAAATTCAGATTATTAGGGAGTTTAAAGAACTGAACGCTGCAACTTTATTCATCTGGGAACTGGGAAATAGCATCTTTATTACGTAGTACACTTGTAACGGACCCCCACCCTCTATCTTTCCTCAGTGGCAGACCACTTATGAAATCGTCGTGAATGCGCTCCAATGGTCCGTCTACGCGTAACTAGATGGCAGCACTGTCACAACATCCGCTAAAGGCGAGCGAGACATGGCGCCCACCTGTCTCACAGTTGCTTCCGGTGTAGCCCTCCGCACAGCTGCAGGTGTAGGCGTCTACGCCGTCCCTGCACGTGGCTCCGTTACGGCAGGGCGAGGCAGCGCAATCATCGATATCTACAGAGAGAGCAACTACAGAGACACACATACGCGCGCAGACAGACACAGATACGCACGCACGCGCAGTCTTGCGCACACAGAGACACACACGCGTACACTCACGGACACACACGCGTGCACGCACATGTACATACACACTCAACAGCCACGCACAGTAACATACGGACACAAAAAAACGTACAGAGACACGCGCACGCATATACGGAGACAGGTATAGACACACACAACCACGCAACTCTCACGTGGCTGTTAAAATACAATTATTTGCTAGAGCGACAACGGCACTCACGTGACTGATATCACGTGATCGGTAGCAACAACGCGTTCCCATTTACGTGGAAACGGTGGTAATTGGTGCATGAATCAGTACTAATGGGGAAAAGATCAGCGTGATAGGATGGCATATGGTGTAATTCGAATATGGCACCTGCGTTGCTGCAGGGCTATGTGAGGCAAAATGTCGACCTACCTGTTTCGCAGATGTAACCCGTATACCCAGCTAAGCAGCTACACGTGAAATTGTTGACGAGATCCGTGCACGTTCCGTTGTTTTGACATGGCGCGTACTCGCATTCGTCAACGTCTGAAATATGACGTATAATTATTATTCATTTTGTTTTGAAAACAATGAGAACTAGGAAATTGTTTCCTTACAATTTCATATCATATTTTACACTGGGTCACACGCACGCGAGCACGCACACAGTCACACACGCGCACGCTCGCGAGCACACACACACACACACAGACACACACACACACACACACACACACACACACACACACACACACACACACACACACACACACACACAGACACTGGTATTTGCAATCTACTGACCTGTTTCACAATTAATGCCCGTGTAGCCTTGTATACAAATGCACTTATAATAATTGACATGGTCAACGCAGGTAGCATTGTGTAGACAGGGCCATGATATGCATTCATCTACATCTGTAACAGAGACAATGAATCTTTTTTAATTAATTTAGAAATTAATTCGACTCAGAATGCGTCGAAAACATTTAGCAGCGTCTGTCTCGATGTATTTCCAAGAAGGAAAATTGTCATCGATAAGAATTCCCGCCATCAGAATGGAAAGTCATACTTCCTTAACACATTTCTCACCAATTTCGCAGTTGGTTCCTGAATAGCCTGGCGTACAACGGCAGGTGTAGTAGTTCACGTCATCAACACATGTGGCGATGTTGAGACACGGATTGGAAGCACACTCGTTGATATCTGTCATTCGAGTAAAACTAAATATACTGAACTAATATAACTTTTTAATTTCTAATTAACATCGCACATTACAATAAATATACATAAAAATAAATAAATAAATTATACGTATTATAATAAATGTAATAAGTGAGAATACTTATTTCCGTCCTGTAATGTCGTATCCCCGGTGCAAAAATACATCATCACTAACATTCCCGCGCGTTGCCTAGTTTCTATTCCCAATTAGTTTGCGTCCCGCTGGGAGCAGTCGAGCGAAAAATGGGTGTCGATGTCTGTGCAATTTACGACAAAAACACGGACATTTTAATTAATCATTAATTATTAACGGTTGGTTAATTACTCGCGTTCAATTAACGGCCGATTGAACCTGATACGTGCCGCGTCGTGCGTTCATCAAGCTAATACAGGTCGACTCACCTGTAACACACTCACCTGTAACAGTCTCACCTGTAATAGACACACCTGTAATAGACTCACGGTGATAGACACACCTGTAATAGACACACCTGTAACACACTCACCTGTAACAGTCTCACCTGTAACACACTCACCTGTAACAGACTCACCTGTAACAGACTCACCTGTAACACACTCACCTGTAACACACTCACCTGTAACACACTCACCTGTAACACACTCACCTGTAACACACTCACCTGTAATAGACTCACCTGTAACGAATACACCTGTGACAGACTTACCTGTAACGAACACACATGTAACAGACTCACCTGTTTCACAGTGATCTCCGGTGAAGCCCGGCTGGCAAACACAGGTGTAGGCATCGATCTGGTCCTTGCACCAAGCATCGTTCATGCATGGGTTGGAAGCGCATTCTATACTATCTAGCAACGACCAGAAAATCATCAGAATCAGATCAGAATCTAGGAAAACTCGGCTTCATATATCATTTTAGTAAAAGTCATTAACGTGTGTTCGTGTGTGCGTGCGTGCGAGCATGTGATAGTGAGTGCGTGCGTGTGATAGTGAGCGCGTGCGTGAATGAGTGCGTACGTACGTCAGTAGGTGAGTGCGGGCGCGTGATCTGTGTTACAACCTGATCTGTGATCTGTGTATCTGTGTATCGGTGTCTCTGTGTGATCTGTGATCTGTGTTACAACGCTACAAACTGTGTTAAGCAAACCCACATACACTCACGTACACACGCGCACACATACGCGCGCACACACACACACACACACACACACACACACACCGTTTTTTACTCTCTGATACTGATATATATATATATAATATATATTTCTGATATATATATATATAATGTGCAGAATGGAAGATGTATAGTAGGTAATTAACCCATCATTTGATGGGTTGCTTTTGCGACCAAAGTTAAGATTTTTGCGCACTGTTTCAACCGAAACTATTGGCAACAAAACACTAGCGTAACACTGTAGCTGATTGGCTAATTCTGTTCCTCGCCGTTTCTACAAATGCTGTCGTCGTAAATGATGAGTTAGCTTAGCCTAAAATCAGATCTGGCATGCAGGTGCCAATCTCCGTGCCACGTATAGTTGCATGGTATTTTAAGAAGAGCACTCAAGGCACTCAGGCACAGACATTTCGCTCACAATGGCCTTAATGATCTCCCTGTAAATTCGCACACTGCTGACGGCGGACTAATGAAGACGAAAATTTTTTCATTCACCTGGCGCGGGCGGACGTCATTGATTCGTCATGATATGCGAGAGCACGGATGCGGGATGCAGATCACGGGAGACCCGCCCGCATATTCTCATTATGTTGTCGTGTGCTGCTGGTTGTGGGTGTCGTCTCTCTCTCTGCTGTGTGTGTGTGTTGTGTCGTGGGTGTGCGTCGTGTGTGCGTGTGTGTGCCGTGCGTGCGTGCAGTGAATGCGTTGGCTGGCGTGGTGTGCTGTGTATGTGCTTGTAGTGCTCCAAACTGTGTTATGTATGTATGTATGTGTGTGTGGGGGTAGGGGGGCGTGCGCTGTGTTTTCGTTGTGTGTGTGTGGGCGTTGCCGGTACGTGTATGCTTGAGTGACGCGCGTTCTCATAGTTATGGGTGGGAGTGCGCGCAAGCAATCAATTTTTCTTCATTAAATGGACTGCCCCTGCCACACCATAGCGATCACCCAGTTGCGTTATGGTGCCGATAGAAAAAAATAGTGGTCATAAGTTGCGAACGCCAACTCACACGCAACTAATGGGTTTTATAGCGTTTGAAGTACGCAACAAAGACTCAGCGTGATTCGCACGGCACACAGCAGAGTAAGAGCGCCGCGTCAACCACATAGCGTATTGTCTGAAAACCTAATGAGTTGCCGTGTAAAAAAATTTTTATACGCACCAACACGCAACCCAAATCCAACAATTCACCTATCGCAAACCTATGGGTTGCGTGTAAAGTTGGGTGTGGGTTGCGGTGGGTTGCGTGGGGTGGTGCTGGGTTGCGAACTAAACTTATGATCCCCCCAAATATCTGCTAATCACCTGCGTCCTCGAGTTTAGCGTCCGAGTTGCGTGTGAGTTGCGTTGCAGAACTTACGAGTTGCGTTTGAGTCTGCGTTTCAAAACTTACAGTTGCCGTTGCGACCTGCGTGCTAGTTGCGAATATCGGTTACGTCGGTAAAACCTGTTATAACTCTGGTTAAAGGCCTCTACCGAGCCAGGTCCAGGTCCAGGTGCTCCCAGAGTCTCCAACTCCTCCTCGGTAGGAGAACCATTGACCGTGACTCATCCAATTTCATCACATCATTCAAATAATGCAGCCAGTCATTTCTTCTGATGAACTAGCATCGGGTTTCTCTACCAAATCAAGCGAAGAAGAATGTGGCCCAACCCTAGCAAAGCGCCAGGGACAATCAAGAATGTGCGTACATCAGCGAGGCCAGAGAAGATTCTGATGGTTGAGTGGCTTGCAGGGAGGAACTCCCAATGATGTTGGAATCCAAACTCAACGCCTACAAAGACACTGGCAAGAAGGCTGAAGAGGTGGGGCAAGATCAGGCCCAGACCTGCGCGACCCCTCATACGATGAGATCACAAAGGTGGCGCCCACTTGCAACGATGGTTCCGGTCCTTGGTGACAGCCATGTGAAGCTTGGAGCACCAAGCCAGGGCCAGGAGCACCACAGAGTAGAACCCCTTGTAGTGCTAATACATGGATCCACTGTTGGGGGGACACCTACTGCACGTGCTTCCCATCTAGGCACCCACATGCTATGGGAAAGTTCCACCTCTTCAGACAGTTGTCTGATATAGGCACGCCATCCCTCAGGAGTGGGTGGGGCGAGCGGTCTCACCTCCATTACTCATCAATGATGGGCTGCAGACCTCACGGACCACGACTGCAGATGGTGTTGGGTAGGTACTCTCATCCGTACTGCCATGGTCGAAGTACTTCGGTACCGAGGCCAGGTGCCGCAAAGTGACGTGCCAGGCTTCAAGCCCAGGGTCTAGGGCAACCTGTACTTGGTGTTTTTGCTTCGTGATTGCGAGGCAACTTCCGTAGGCAGCTCATCGGGTACATTTTGCCGGGGGCCATCCTCATGAAGTTCTTGAAGGCACCTTTGGTCCTCGTTCCGGAGCTCCACCATAAGCTGGTCCGTATGAGACAAAGTGAAGGCGGCCTGCTATCCATGGTCTAACCCACACTCTTCGTCTTTCTTCGCTTCTTTTCTTCGGGCTTCTTCTCCCCCTTCTGTTTATTCGTATTACTGTATGTGTTGGAGTGCTAAATTGAGCCAGATTAAACTTGATGCTAATAACAGAAAGAGGTAGCTCCAATGTTGTCCCACCTCGGACGTCCACCAACAACGGGACACGATCTAGAAAAGGCCGCACTATTTTGCCATTTCTCAACACGCATTGTAGCTACGCCAACTAACACGCAACTCACACGCAACTAATAGGTGGATACGCAGGGGCATAGCGTGGGGATACGCTGGGAATACGCACAATAGGTTGGGGGGTACGCTAAACGCGGCCAAACAGGATCGCAACACGCAGGGTTCGCCAACATGATCGCAACAGGTACCAACACAATTCGCAACATGTACGCTACCAAACCGGGCAGCATACCTCAAATTTAGACCTGCGATCACCTGCGTTCATAACTTATGAGTTGCGTACAGTTTGCCGATCGTGCTGCGATCGTGTTCGCTGCCGTTAGCGTACCTGTTGCGTCCCTGTTGCCGTATTAAATTGCATCGCAGGCATCGCCAGAGAATTTTTGAACAGTCAAATTTCTGAACTTACTCTGCGTGCTGTCTGCCGATCACCTGTGCTTGTTGCGTTACTTCAAAACCTATAAAACCTATTAGTTGGGTGTGAGTTGCCGTTCGTAACTTTGCCACTATTTTTTATTCGGCCAACCATTACGCAATTGGTGGAATCGCCTATGGTTGACGGCCACTTTACGGTCAGAAATTTGAACTGTTCAATAAATTCTCTGCGGAATGCCTGCGTCAGATTTATACGCAAACAGGGACGCAACATGGCGCAAACAGGGAACTCGGCAGACAGGTACGCTACGCACGGAAAAGCACGACGCAACAGCTGATCGCACAGGTACCGCAACTCAGTACGTTGATGAACGCAGGTGATAGCAGGTTCAAAATTTGAGGTATGTCTGCCAGGCTTTTGTCTAGGTACATGTTGCGAATGTGTTGCGTACCTGTTGTGATCATGTGCGATCGTGTTGCGTACCTGTTGCGTTCTGTGCGCGACCGTGGGTAGCGTACCCCCAACCTAATGTCCGTATTCCAGCGTATTTCCCAACTATGCCCTGCCCGTACCAACCTATTAGTTGCGCGTTGAGTTGCGTTGTTAGTTGCGTGACTACAGCGGTCGATTGAGAAATGGTATTAAATAATGGGGCCTTTCTAGATCGGCTTCTGTTGTTGGTGGACCTCCGAGGTGACAACATGGGAGCTACCTCTTGCTGTTATTAGACAGTCAGTTTAATCTGCCGTCAATTTAGGCACTCCAACACATACAGTATAATAGAATAAACAGAAAGGGAGAAGAAGAAGAAGAAGAAGAAAGTAAGAAGAAGAGAAGAATTAAGAAGAAAGAAGAAGAGTGTGGGTTAGACCACTGGATTTAGCAGGCGCCTTGACTTGTGCGTCTCTACGAACCAGCTTCTGGTGGAGCTCTGGAACGAGACCAAGATGCATTCAAGAACGTTCATGGAGGCATGCCCCCCGAGATGTACGATGAGCTGCCTACGGAGAGTATGACTTCCTCGACATACAAGCAAACACCAAGTACAGGTTGCCCACTGGACTTGCGATACTTTGCAAACTAGGCACAGCAACTAGCACGCAGGTCAACGCAACTGTGTAAGATTTTTGAACGGCAACTCAAACGCCAAACTCGCTACCGCAGGTTGATCGCAGATATTAGGGATCATAAGTTACAGTCGCAACCCACACGCAACCCACACGCAACACACCGCAAACACCACACGCAACCACACAGCAACCCATAGGTTAGAATAGGTATGAAATTGACAAAATTGTAGATATTGCGGTTTAGCGTTGAGTGCGTATAAAAATATTATTTTACACTGCAACTCTAGGTTCAGCATACATGTTTACAGTTCGCTAACCTCATCGACATACGCATTATATTATCGACACACGCGTTAACTGTAACTCGCCAAGCAGTAGCGCAGCCGCACACACAGCACGTCGCACACACACACACACACACACACACACACATACACGCACACACACACACACACCACACACACACACACACACACACACCACACAGCACACACACACACACGACACACACTCACCACACACACAAAACACACACTCACACACACACACACACACACACACACCACACACACACACACACACACACACACACACATCCATGATATCCGTTTGCGGCCCATTTTTGTGTTGAAGCATCGTTACGTCTTTTAACACGCCTTAATACGCTCAATTACAAATGTACCTATTTCACGATCTGTCCCCCACGTCAGCCGGTGTGCGCAGGTACACGTATAGCCGTTGACCATTGTTCAACGCAGGTCGCAGCGTTTAGCAAGCGCGCGCTCATGCATTCATCAATGTCTGCAATCAAAACAAGTGTTGTCAATCGCACATTCCTCTATCGTCACGATATATTCACCCTTCTCATTTCTCTCATTCTCTCGCGTGTCTCTCTTCTCTTCCCCTCTCTCTGTTTATCTGTCCTTCCACCTTTCGCTTCACCCTCTCTCTCTCTCTCTCTCTCTGCTCGTCTTGACCTTTTTTTTGCTCTCGCCCCGATCCTGTGTGTGCTCTCTCTCTCCTCTCTCTCTCTCTCTCTCTCTCTCTCTCTCTCTCTCTCTCTCTCTTTCTCTCCCTATCTCTCTCTCTCTTTCTCTCTCCTCTCTCTCTCTTTCTTTCTCTCTCTCTCTCTCTCTCTCTCTCTCTTTCTTTCTCTTTCTCTCCCTATCTCTCTCCGCCTCTTTCTCCATCTGTGTCATCTCCACCATCGCCTGAGTACGTAACTAAATTCGTTCGTATAATACCCGTTTCACAGTTGTATCCAGTGTACCCGTCCCCGCAGGAGCACGTATAATGATTAACAAGGTCGATGCAGGTGGCGCCACTGAGACAAGGATCGGATACACACTCGTCAAAGTCTGAAAGGAATTACCAAGAGAATACATTCACATCTACAACAGTCTCTGCAACACACTCTCTATTCTGACCTGCGGGTTTTTTCTCCACTCTTGTGCTTCCTTTGTAAACTAGATATTAACTATGACTTGTACATTTCCTATTTGCCGCTGTAAACTGTATACACACGACTTATGCACAAATAAACATCTTGCATCTTGACATCTTGAACAGATCTGATAGCTAGGAAGGAAACCCGTGCTGACCAACGACTACCATGTACGGCTACTACCAAGTCTCTACTCAAACGTGGTTCGAACCTCTTCTGAATACATTGCCCCGCGTGTTGATTGTGTGTAGACAATGATGACTCATAAAAACGCTCACACTGGAGTTGATAGATCGAAAACCCTACCACGTCATGGCTTCTAATTCAGTTTGCTACGCCTCTGAGTCGAGGATTGCTGCTACTAGTACTACCGGTGATTGGTTACGGCATTGGCAATTGCAATTACAAGTGACAAATGAAGATGGAGAGTACAGAGATTACAAGTGGAGATGAGACGCGACGTTTTTCTTATAAGATTACGCTGCGGCGCTGTTCGCGGGGTTTCTTCGTACCTGTCTCGCAGTTGTCACCGACGTATCCCGGCATGCAGTCGCACGTGTAGTGGTTCACGTGGTCGACACAGGTGGCGTTGTGATCGCACGGTGTGGACGCACACTCGTCCACGTCTGTAATACGAGCAATCGGTCCGTTTGTGCCACACGCCCACAAACACATTGTGGTAGGAAGGCGAGCACGCACAGACGCACGCGCGCATGCATATGTACACGTACACGCAGACGCGCGAACAACCTCAAGCACGCGCGCACACGCACGCACGCACACATTTTGGTATTAATGCTTTGCCATTCAGATTTTACCCCGCAATAAAACTATTCAGCAAAGCTTGGAACGAGAAGGAGCAGCAACGACTATTGCGATAAAAGCACGCTTTTGCAGTAAAACTCGCCAACTTTTTATAAACGCTCAACCGCATTTTGTAATAGAATCAAAGCTGTAGGGAATTATTTTATGAGAAACGCTGTCGATTTATGTTACAAATGTTTCGAGTTCTTTGAAGAACTACGTGTTTATTTGTCATTGCAGCAAAAATCACGCTTGCCACGGTTGCGAGTTCGTATAAAAGCAAGTTCTGTTTTACAAACGCTGTTCTTGTGAAATATCAATAAGGCAAATACGATGAAAGTCGATAAGTCTAAGCGATGGTGAAACTTTGATTTAAGACCTCAACAAATGATGAATATGGCCACTTACCAATTTCACAATTAAGGCCAGTATACCCTGGCTGACAGGAGCAGGTGTATAAGTTAACGAGATCCACACAGGACCCCTGATTCATGCAGGGTGCTGATATGCATTCATCGATGTCTGCAAGGTAGGAATAATGAAATAAAAGATATATGCAATACCAGGAGCACGGATAGTTGTCAAGCCCTTTATTTGCGTATATAACACTTTATATCTTGAGGGTCAAATAAACATTATATATTCGGTTTTATTGCACGACAAAAGGTACAATATCGCATATATGTGAATGGAACACGAACATAGTATTAGGCAGGGCTCTATTTAGCTGGCCAATTAATGCAACATATACATGCGTACAAATCATGTACACAACGTGGTCGCAGTCAGTTGGAATTTCGCCAACTTATTTCTCGGACTAACTGCGATTATTCATCTGTGTGTGCTCTGATACGTATGTGAACTAACCGCGCCACCTGTAGGAGCTTTAAATACATACGAGCATTGAATACGGAGGCGATACAATATGTCGACGCTCTACCGATTTCATACCTGTTTCACAGATGGCGCCAGTGTAGCCCGGTAGGCACGAGCAGGAGTAGGCGCTGATATGATCACGACAGAGGGCGCCATTGCGGCAAGGGTTGGACGCACACTCGTCGATATCTGAAACGCGGCGGGTTGTAGTATAGTAGACAACCCCGTTATGTTAAACGTACTCCTATACATAGCGCGTGGGCGTTTGTATCTGACCTTTACTGCCCATACGCTTTATACAGGGGGGCGTTTGCTATAGTGAGATTGTCTACCATGTTATACGGACACACACTCACGCGCGCATGCACGCACGTGACCAACCGACGTGATACACTGTAGCATCAGCGTTCCAGGGGCTCTGTACGTTTGCTAGGTTGTCCCGCCTATGTGGTAACCCCGCCCGGGGAGCCGTAGTATGGTGGTCTAGGATCGCCGGGGCTTTACTCATCGTTGGATCAGGTTTAGGGTTACGGCTGGTGTTAGAATGAGTGCTAGGGCTATGGATCGGTTTAGTGCGGGAGTTTAGATTTTCGTTGTTATGGTTGCAACATGGCGTTAGGGTTAGAAGAAGGGTAAGTAGTAAGGCAGTGTGAACTAGAAGTAAGGGTAGAGGTAAAGCTGATAGCGGTTGTATATTAGGTTTAGATTAGAATCAGGATTGCAGGTAAAGTTAAACTTGGGCTTATGATACGTTAAAACCATTTATTATCAACAATAAGTAGGGGCCTAAGTATAAAAATCAAATATTATAAACTGTTTATTATTGGGATTATCATTAGGATCACAACCGTCTAACCTGTATTAACCCTAACCCTAACCCTAACCCTAACCCTAACCCTAACCCTAACCCTAACCCTAAGGCCACGGTGTGTAATGTATGAGCCATTCCAAACCACCATACTAGGCGTGGCATGTGTGGAATATTTTGCGTGTAGAGTATGCTTATAGAAGCAGTGCGGTATGTGACAGCATAACCGTAACGACATACGCCTTCGGTGCGTTGATCTTGTGGTTGCAGGCCTACTTACCCACCCGTGTACACGCGCTTCCACGGTGTAAGCTTAAAGATTAACGTTAGTCACACACGTATGAAACGAATCGGTTTGTAAATGGGAAGTAAAAATCGAGGTAGCACGCGGATGAGCTAATATCAACCTGTGTAGCCAACCTTGTTCTTAGTCCGCGACTTCTCTCGGAATAATTGGGGAGAGAATATATCGGTTAATAGTTCATCATCAATATTTTTAATCAATTATTTATAAATGAATTGCGTATATCGTGCATAATAAACCCATACATATTATATCTATCTAGCTAGCTAGCCCGCTATCTATCATATATCTATATCTATCTATCTATCTATCTATCTATCTATCTATCTATTTATCTATCTATATATCTATCTATCTATCTATCTATCTATCTAATCTATATATATTATATATATATATATATATATATATATATATATATATATATATATATATATATATATATAGTATATAAAAGCAGATGTCGTGTGATATTGGCAGTATCTTTTGTTTGTCCCTTTTTCACTCTCTCCGCGGAAGGATAAGGATCGAGGAGAGAGAAGGGTATGAAGGTCTTACCCGTCTCACAAGTTTCACCCGTAAATCCTGGTCGGCAGTCGCACACGTGACGGTTCACCAGGTCCCGGCAGGTGGCGCCATTGCGGCACGGATCGCTCGCACACTCGTCAACGTCTGTCGAACGGAAAGAGAGAGTGTGAGTGCATGAGAATAGTAGAGAAAAGGGGTAGAGACACAGAGACAGAGAGAAAGGTAGAGCGAGAAAAATACAGTGATAGAGTAGGCGCGCGAGAGAGGGGAAGATATGGAAAGCGAGAGGGGGAGAAAGCAAGCGAGAAAGAGAGAAAGAGATAAAGGGAAGGACGTGAAAAGAGTGAGAGAGCGCAGTGGAGAGAGCGAGAAACGAACAAACAAAAGATTGACGAGAGAGAGAGAGAGAGAGAGAGAGAGAGAGAGAGAGCGCGCGCAAGAGCGAGAGAGAGAGCGCGCTAGTGAGAGAGAGCTATCGGATGGACATATCGATTACTTGTTTATCAATCAAACACCGATTACCTGTTTCGCAGCGATCGCCGGTGTAGCCTGGCGCGCATGCGCAGCTGTAGCGACCCACGTGATCGTGGCAGACGCCTCTGTTCAGACAGGGCTGTGACGCACACTCGTATATGTCTGACCTCATTAGGAACAAGAAATAACGAAATTATCAATATTTTGTTATTTTTATGACGGAATATATAAATTCTGATCAGATTCAGTCAATTTTTCGTTTACGAAATTGATGCTTCGAAGTGTAATACATCCTGGCAATATATCATGAAATAACAATTTCAGTATTTTATGAGGTACGCATATATCAGTAGTAGATCAGAGGAATTGCTCTAGCTCCTGTAATCTACCATTTCCTCTTATCTATTCCCGGTATATGATCGCACTCACGCGCACGCACACGGGCACGCACGCATGTATGCTTGAACGCATGCACGCATACACGCACACACACGCACACATGCATTCATACAAGCTCGCACGAGCACACACGCACGCACGCTCACGTGCACACACTCACGCACGCACGCACGCACGCACGCACGCACACACGCACAGCACGCCCACTACTAGATGCCCTGCCTTCGTAGAAGGAGAAATCGTCGGGCGTACCGTGTTCACAGCTGTCGCCGGCGTAGCCATCCGCGCATGCGCACACGTATGCATTCACGCGATCCTCGCAGACGGCGCCGTGCTGACAGGGTGCCGAGCCGCACTCGTCCACGTCTGAAACAGACCGCAGACGGTCGACGTCACAGGGTATCCGCGTTTTCGATCTCGGCATTACGGATTTACGCCGTATTGTGGTAATAGGGAGCTTCGTATAGTGTTGAAGGTGCGTGGGCTGTGTGGTGCGTTAATTAGTAGATGTTGGAGAAAGAGAGAGCGAGAGAGAAAGAGTTGAGAAATAAAGAGGAGAGAGGGGCGAGAGAGAGAGAGAGAGAAGAGAGAAGAGAGAATGAGAGAAGTAGGTGCGTTGGGAAAGGGAGGGAAAGCCGAGAGAGAGAGAGAGAGAGAGAGAGAGAGAGAGAGTGGCTTGGGAAAGCGGAGGAAAGCGAAGAGTAGAGAGAGAGAGAGAGAGAGAGAAGAGAGAAGAGAGAGAGAAAGAGAAGAGGAGAGAGAGCGACACGACAGAGAGAGAAGATGAGAGAGAGAGAGAGAGAGAGAGGAGAGAGAGAGAACGAGATGCGGCGATTGGGAAAGGAGAGAAAGCGAGAGAAGAGAAGGGAGAGAGAGAGAACAGAGACAGAGAAGACCAGAGAGAGAGAGAGAGAGAGAGAAAGAGAGAGAGAGGAAAGAGTGAGCAAGAGAGAAGAGAGAAGAAGAGAGAAAGAGAGAGAGAGAGAGAGAGAGAGAGAGAGAGAGAGAGAGAGAGCGAGCGAGCGAGGAAGCAAGAGATGGAAAAGAGCGAGAGACAGAGAAAGACAGAGAGGCAGCGAGAGACAGAGAGGCAGGTGCAGAAAAACAGAAAAAGAAAGACAGGGGGACAGGGAAAGGTAGTGATGGATGAGACATTACCTGTCTCACAGTTGTATCCCGTGTAGCCAGGCATGCACACACAACTGTAGTGATCTACGTGGTCGCTACACACCGCACCGTGGCGACACGGGTCCGACTGGCATTCATCCACGTCTGCAAACACGACGCAATGGCTGCACATTCACACATAGATGAAATACTCAATGCTATAGTGAAATTTCGATTAGAATAGCGTATGATATAGTGACATGCGGACCGATTTAGCGTTTGAGAACTCGCGAATCTGCGTGATTCATAATTTATACATTCGGTAGATGGCGCTGCACGTTCTGATCGTAGGTGTGTATGTAAGCCCGTGCTTACCTGTAGCGCATGCTGGATCAGTGTACCCTGAAGCGCAGGTACACGTGTAGCCATCAATGTGATCACTACACGTGGCGCCATTGTGACAGGGTATGGAGGCGCATTCATCTATATCTGAAAATGCAAAATTTTTATTAACTTCATTCATTCATTCACTCATTTACGGATTTATTATTATATTGCTTCAGACCATGGATTTTAGGATTATTGGGTTTTCTGCAGTTTTATACCAAATGTTTTATTAATTCAAGCAGCAATCGTCTAAACCTTCCTATTCCCTACATCCAAGCTTACACAATCAATTAATCAATTAATCAATATATAGACAACAATACACAAAACACGGAAATTAGTTATAATGCCTAACACAATGTTTGAGTGCATCACACACTGACTAAGTATCGTGTTTCACGCACGGACGAACCTGTCTCACAAACGTCTCCGGTGAACCCACGCGCGCAATGGCAGACGAAACTGTCGATGCGGTCGTCACAAGGGGCGTTGTTCAGACACGGGCCGCTCGCACAGTCGTCTATGTCTGAGAATAGAAGACGCTCGTTTAATGGGAATAGTTCTTCTAATGTTGCGATGAGAGAGTTTGTAGACCTACAGTTGACGCATACTAACCTGGATTAATAACTCGATATTTATTATCAATATATATATATATATATCGATAATTAATAACTCTCTAACCCTAACTCGAAATAACCAAAGAGATGCACGCTTGGCCATTCGAAAATAACTTTATGAACACGCGCACGTTTGTAAAAGCTCGAAGTAAAGCGATTTAGACGCAGCTATTTGACGCGATATACAACTAAACATAGATATTTACATTATGCAAAAAAAACGAGATACCGTAAAACGGAATTGCTGCTTCCCCTTAACATTTTTCTCTGGGGTTACGTTGCTTGTTTTACTTGACACGCGCATACCTATTTCACAGTTATATCCTGTGAATCCTGGCTGACAATTGCAAGTGTAGTAGTTGACGTTGTCTATGCAGGACCCATTGTTCATGCATGGTGAGGATATACATTCATCGATATCTAAAAAAATATAATGGTGAACGACGAAGACATTTCGATAAAGAGGAAATCTATCAATTCTTCATTTCGAACACAGAGGTAATATCAATCAGAATATCGACTTTTTTATTGATGAATGAGAATGACCACTTCGCCTAATTTCCCTAATATCAACCAATCAGAGACCTCGACACTATGACTAATTTTCCCCGCAAATCTCTCGCGCGAGATCTCGCGAGACGAAGCTGCTTACCAATCTCGCAGTCGTCGCCCCGGTAGCCGGCCACGCAGACGCACACGTATCCGTTGATGCGGTCCACACAGAGACCGTTGTTGTGACACGGTGACGATTGGCATTCATCGATGTCTAGCAGAGAATTCCCCCCATCATTACACATAACACTCACGACCATAGCTCATCGATAGATAGGTCACCGGGCGCGGCGCTTACTGCGGCTCCACGTGAAAACGGACGCGGCGGGGGACTATGCGTTATAGTTAGTGCCACTCCGGTACTCTCACCCTACTAATTTCTCTTTACCCCTCACTCCCACTATAACCCCCCCCCCTAATATTAACATATACTCTCATCTAACACAGAACCCACTAGCTATGTGTGCATACAGAGATGCGGGTAAAAAGGGAGAGTGCGAGGTGGCATAGATTCACGTGCTAAAAGGTGCGAGCGTATACGTAAGAGTAGGTAAGAGTAAAGAATGCCAGCAAGATGCGTGCTGAGTGATTTGCGATCAATCGTGCAAAACATCGCATGCGCGTGTACTATAGTGTGAAAGCTCTACGGCGGCAACCTAGCAAACGACGGACCGTACAACTACAATACAACAATGTCTCTGAGTCTGAACGTTTTATTTGTGTGTCCGTCCGTCCGTCCGTCCGTCCGTCATTCCGTCTTTCCCTCCGCCGGTTCGTTCGTTCGTCCGTCCGTCCGTCCGTCCGTCATTCCGTCTTTCCCTCCGCCCGTTCGTTCGTCCGTCCGTCCGTCCGTCCGTCATTCCGTCTTTCCCTCTGCCCGTTCGTTCGTTCGTCCGTCCGTCCGTCCGTCCGTCATTCCGTCTTTCCCTCCGCCCGTTCGTTCGTTCGTCCGTCCGTCCGTCCGTCCGTCATTCCGTCTTTCCCTCCGCCCGTTCGTTCGTTCGTCCGTCCGTCCGTTCGTCCGTCCATCCGTCCGTTCGTCCGTCCGT